CTATCGTTTCCCCTTGCCTTATTTAGAGTACCGCATCAGCCCTCCTGTCGGGCCTATTTACTGCGGGCCGGAAGACGGGACGCCAACTGAAGGACGAAATTTTTGTTTGTTTTGGAGACGATGATTCGATGCTTGATTTCACCCGTCTCCTTGTGGAAACCCTGAAATCTCGTTGTTCGCTAAATGAGCGGGAAGCACGCAGTCACATTTTCATGGTGGACAGCCAAGGCCTGATTGTGAAGAATAGGTCCAAAGGCGAAATGAGTGCTGACAAGGCCGCCTTTGCCAGACCAGTTGGAACGGCAGAAATGACCGACTTAAATGAGGTGCGTTCCCTCAATATTACTAATAATAACCATTGCCATGAAGTTATTCGCTCAGCGTTCGCTAGCAATTTGCTAGGTCTTTCCTGACGAATTTGTTATGACAAAACTTTTTCAAATTACGTGCTGCTTTGTAAATAGAACTAGCACACTTAAACAACCCTCTTCATATTCACGACTCCCTTATTTGTATGTTTACATTTTCCTACGAGGTACCATTCCCATCAAATCAAAACTAACCACCGCTTTGAATTTTGTCACTGTTGAATTGTTTCCAGCCCCAGCCCTTTGACTTGTTAAGGAAGGTGCATAGGGTAACAGCAAGTTAGTTAGTAGAACACCTTTTTCTAGAACGTTTTTCTAGTTACTCTTTCTTAAATCTAGTTACCCTGTCGTTAAGCAAGTTAGGTAACATCAAGTTAGGTAATAGAAAAAAAAGGTTTTATAGAACTGAAAGTAAACCTTTCTAAAAGCATGGAATTCATAGAATTTGCTATCAACTGAGTACAGTATAAAATGTTTCAGTTCTTTTTATCACATATTTAAAAATTAAGAGGTCATCGAAAATGAATGAGAGCATTTGTACTACTTAAGTGGTCCTTTTTTGCAAAACTTAGTTTTTGTTTGCGGTCAAAAGGAAGTTCATTCAAAAGCAGGCACCCCGATGGGACTGTAGTATCTCGGGGTTATGTCGCGAGATACTTAATATTTCAACCCTACTTAAGTAATGCCTTATACTCAAAAATATTTTCAGAAGTGCGATGAACATTTTTATGAGATGGCACAGCTCTGATTGTTTTTTTCTATATCTGGTAACAACATAAAATTTAGCTTGACTATTTATTCTTATTAGCCTTCCATCTCTTTTTTTCCCGCCTCCCAACTGACAGGTTGTCAAGTATTCCAAGTGTACAACGTTGATTGCTGCTGCTGCGGTATCGAAAGAATTATCACCTACAATGATCTCTCAGCTTGCAGAACAGTGCAAGGAACCACTGATCCTTGTCCTGAGTAATCCAACAGATAAGGCTGATTCCATTGTTGAAATCGCCTCCAAGGCTACTAAGGCAAATAATCTTCCTTCTTTACCTATTTTTGGTTTTAATCCTATCTTCTCGACATTTAGCTGGGTTTAAACAGCGTCAGATCCGAGGTGGATGATAGTTCGACCATCCATTTCGTCGATGTCCACCATATGCTTGAAACAGGTTGGTGCAGGGAAGGTGAGTGGCGGCAGGGATTAGGTTTAAGTGAACGCCGCACTCTCCACCTTCATCTGCCGGAACCGGTGTCATGACGGAATTAAGATGGCCGAAACGGGATCCAGCGTTGGCCGTCTACTTCAATGCAGGCCAGAACATAGCGCGTAATTGAGTTTAAAGTGATAGTAGATTGTGCATCGGATATACTGCAATATCTATCCTGATCCACTTAGCCGGTGTCAAGACAGAGTCAGGAAGACCAAGTGGGATCGGGCGCAAGGCCGCTCCACCAATGCAGGCCACCGCAATGCGCGTGATCTACTTAACCCTCATTCTCTTTTGGGTGCACTTATTTAGGGGTATGGCTTTATTGGTATAGTCCTTAATGAGCTTCCTATAATAGGAAGTGAAGTTCGAGAAACTTCTGACCTCAGTCGCATTGCTTGGCGCTGGCCACTTGCGGACTTCTATGACCTTATCCTTATCGATCTTGATCCCGGATGCGGATGCGGAAACGACATGCCCTAGGAATTTGACCTTATCTCGTAGAAGTGTGCATTTCGCCGGCTTAAGAATGAGACCCGTCTGCTTTAGGCTATAGCATATCACACGCATATTACGCAAATCTTCTTTGCAGTCCTTCCCAAGTACCTTATTAAATAATATCTCAAGTTCTACCACGTCTTTATGTCCCAAGGTGGTGCCATTTACCGTTTTCAGGCTACTTGTAGATTTACTACAGTATCTAGCTGTAGCTTGGAATTTACAGAACGTCTTTTGTCTCACAAGGGGCAATCTGCTTCAGAATCAACTAAACATGACAACTTAGTATGTCCTATAATTTAGTCAACTGCTGAGTACTAAGACATGTATCCTACATTTGCAGCAAACATAATAGATAGGCATATGAACTTACCAGCTTCCTCATCCTAACCTGAGGCGGATACTAGCTGTAGGTTCATATGCCAGTCTGAAAAAACTTCGTTTGACAACAAATACGGCCGTTTGACCACCGTATCCGACGAGGTCCTCCGTGAACTTTGCAGAATGGTGGCACAGGGATGATGCTTTGTACGTGAATTTATTTTATGTGCTAGCCGGCTTGCGGTGCATTTACCGCACTTGTTTTTCTCTCACACACCTGTGCCCGATATCGGGAAAATCGGAGGCGGTGCCGGGTGCAGGTGCCTGGCGCGGCATGAACTTGCGTCTACGCGTGCCACCACATCACCCCCCT